TCGGGGCTGAGGCGGGGACCCTGGAGCTGGGGCGAGGGAGTCGCCGCCCTGCGCGACGGACAGCGGAGTCGCCGCGGGCCGGGGTCGCCGTGGAGGCTCGAGTGAGGAGGTCGCCCTTCTGGGGCGGGGGACCTTAGTGGACGACCTTTCCTGCATCCTGTTGCGGAGAGCGTCCACGCCCTCCAGAGCCCAGTCGTGTGGACGACCCCTTTTTAGCTTCTGTTCTCAGGTGGCAGGAGCGGGCGCGCCCGTGGGAAATGGGGAGGGCAAAGTTTTGAATTGGAGATCCTCCGGCGTCGGAGTGAGGAAAGGAGAGGGGACGTTGACTGGAAATCAGACCCTTTTCCTGGCTCTAGGTCAGAAGTGGTCGCTGGAAATTGCTTAAACGAGGAATGGGGTTAGCTGAAGGAGTCCAGATCTGGGCGCTGGTTTTATGGAATAGCAAAGGTTACACAGTAAGAAAACATCTCCTGCCCTCCCAAAAGCAAAAAAACCCGAGTCACTGTTGCGGAGGGTGGGAGTCTAGAAGTCACAGCCAACAGCAGAGATAGGAGCTGAGATCAAGTGTGGAGGAAACCTTTCCGAAGTGGGTCATGCCCATGCCCGGCGTGGCTCAGGATGTGTGCTTCTGAGGATCCGTTCCCTCTTGCTGGAAGAGTCGTGTTTGTTGTAAATTATTTAATGGAATACAAATTACTGTTGTGTCATGCCGTGAAATAGGTTTTCAATAGGATAATGTACCTCTCTATGGAATGGGTCATCATTTGGAAAACAAAGGGTTAAACCCATTTTTTTTTTTAACGGGAACACCCCAAGTTGAGGCTTCCTATAGTGTCTCTAATGATCTCCTTTTTGCTAACAGATGGAATCGTCACAACCTCATGTAATAAGGGAGTGTTTAGAAAAATCTTAATTACAGGCTGCTGGAGCAGCTGCCTGTAAGAATCAGCAGTATTGAAGGCTTCAGGATGAAGTGGTTAATCAAGGTGCCTTCAAGAATTCGAGTGCTGTTCCGAGGGGGATGTTTTTGCTTAAAAAAGTGATGCCGTGGGGCTGGTGGGGAGTTGTCAGGAGTCATGGCATTTGGCGAGTTCAATTTTCATCGTTAAAGCCAGGGTAGTTCTGTGGCACTGAGTGGGCGTGTTGTTTATGAAAAAGTGTTGTGACAAAAAGGAGCCCAGTTGCAAACCCTCCTACAGCCATGCTGTCTGTCTGGAGACACCCGATCCTAACTGCTGGATTTCCTCTGGATGTCCTGCATTTTGCCTATTGCAATTTGGCGTGGTAGTTTTCCCCTTGTTAGAAAATAAAGGCAAACAGCTGTAGTATTTAAACGTTTGACATGAAAATCAAGGAAACTAGCTGATTTGGTGATTTTGTTTGGGAGGTGTTTCTCACTCTGACTAAAGAAGTGTGGAGGACTTGAAGGTAAAAGGAAGCTAGTGTGCTTCAGCAGCTTATAGATCTTGAGAACCATAACAGAGGGTGAAATTATGTATCAAAAGCCTTAAAACTCTTTTTTGGCTATTAATATCTCTCCTGGAAATATTGTATATCACAGGGAAATAACTTTGAAGTGAAAAAAAGTTTGATCCATGGAGATGTGCATTACAC